GTAATAAGAGGTATTGTAGTAGGTACTATGAAACGGTTGCGATTGTTTTTATACTATAATGTTTTATAATGCGCATCGCAAACAAAGCGTAAAATTCGAGCGTACGCGGATCTAATAGAGTAGATAACATCGCGTTTGTTTTTTGTTCGCGACGGTAACACACATTATCATGAAAAAATGTAAAATCATTTCGGAGCCCGTAACGATAACAATACAATTATTATATTTTGATACAACGGGTTTAGTGAACTGACGTGCAGATGCCACATTTATAAGGTCGTGTAAACAAATTTTATCAATTAATTATCAAAGGACATAGAGTTATTCTGAGAGTTTGTTTTAAAGGGATTGGCGACGGTATGCATACGGTGTATTTTAGTCGATTTATGCGCCTATAAAAGCCAGATAAAACTGTAGGAATTATGTTTGACGTAATTCAATTTTGAAAACGGATTGTGATACTTCAGGCTATTTACTAGGATATATTGCTGGGAACATAAATTGCGTTGTTTTTTTTTTTTATTTTATTTTAAGGAAATCGTAAAAAAATGTGATTGTATTTTTTCGAAAAACCGTTTACTTAATGTCTTTTACCTTTCGTTTATGATGAAAACGATTGCAATTGAAAAAAATAATTCCTAATGAATCACAAAACGTTTTCAAAATTTTCAAAATCTACCGAACGCAACTCCTACAGTTTTGTCCGGCTTTTCGGTCTAAAACTCCGTATTCGTCGGTAAACTAGCTAGTATAAATTATAAATATATGGTAGTCGTGGAAATTTTTTTGTAAAAATTTGAAAAACAACACCGAACCCATTATAACACGTTTTTTTGTGTGTGTGCATTTTTCGTATACTAGTCAAAAAAGTGCGGTAGACGGCGTGCATTTTCCAACTTTATATATTGTTTGTTTTTAATCATACGTTTACTCGTGAACTATTTTATAAAATACTATCTGCATTTCGTACTGTTTTTGTCAAAACTTTCTCCGACTAAATTCTAAAGTGTCAATGTTCACTCGTTTATATACAACGGTGGCGTTTTTAGGAGACTTGAATTTACGCCGAAAACCATAACCTTAATTTAACATCACGTGGATTTGTTTTTCGCCCGGTCGAATGGTTTTGAAGGTTAAATTCGAATAAAAGAATCGGTATTATCTATATATATATAAGTCGATAGTAAACATGATTTTATATTGTTTAATTTAATTCGATTTTCAGCAATAAATCTATATGAATTTTAAAACCTAAAGCCGTTTTTTCGAAAAAGTGAATATTCTTTGAAAACTTATTATTTGTCAACTTTTTAGAAAATTAATTTTGTGGAATTATCGTTTTGGCATTTTTTAAATATTGTGAAACGAAAAGAAAAAAAACGAGAGAAAATTCAAATGGGTACACAAAAATTGACGAATCCACTAATGATTTTCATACGAGAAATAAAATGTTGCCAACTCAATAGCTCAGTGGTAGTGGTTTTTTGGCACGATTCTAATGTAAAAGTGTTATGGCCGTGGCTTTTCTACGAGCGAGGGACAAAAGTTTTACGCGTGGTCGTCGATCGTAATAAATAATATAAAAAAATATAATAACATTGTATTTTTTATTCATGTTATAAATCGTTCCGGGTGTTGAAAAAATAAAATGGATGAACTACTCGCCGTGGCACCATTTCGTTTTTCTATTTTTTTTTCCATCGTTAAATTTAGTATATACGAAGTGGCCATAGCCAGCAGACTTTTATAATATTATTTTCACAGGATACTAGTAATGTAGAACACAAACGTCTAGTCTTAGCAGTTTGAACTTTGAAGTTCAACTGCATCTCAGACAGTGGTGGGAAAGTTCCTTTAACACATTATTCAGGTGACACATTATATATGGCTTTTCGACTTCTTGGATGACCTATAGACATTGTATGTGAGACGCTGAAAGATACAGCCAATGTGTTAAAAGCATTAAAATCCGAAATGAGAACAGTTGGCGAAGGAGCAAGGAGCAACAGGAGCTAATATTGATATGAGACCGATGACTATAGCATTTGACAATAGCCAAAGCATTCAGCGAAGAGCCGCATTCGAATGGACACCTCAAGATCAAACGCCGAGGAAAAAGACTGATAGTTGGTGTATACAACTGAATCGTGGAGAGAAATGAAGTACAAGATAGAGAAGTAGCGCAACGGTGTCAGCAGAAGAAATCTCCGATCGAAAGGTTTTCTTTTTATACCATTAAAATAAACGAAAAGATACATTAATTTCGGTATTTTTGCGAGTGGTAATAACGACTGTCAGTAACAATGCTGTGTTCGGTCTCGTAATTTATTCATCGTACGTCTTATTTTACAATATACGATACATAAACAAAGGTGGCGTGTCGTTTTCGAACGGACTTTACTGTTGACTTTATAACAATATCATTTTTCGAGTACGTATTAAGAATTCATACACGCGTTTTCGTATAATAATATTATTATCGTACGGAGTGACACGAGTCGATGCAATATTGAAAAATTGTTTACTCACCGGTCTTTATTGGAATACCTCGAGGTTAAAATATTATTTATTTTACCTACTTATACGAGTGTTTTCATAATGTGCAATACTATAATAATGTAAAATAATATCATTTAAATACGTAGACTATAATATTATGTTTTTTTTTTTTTTCAGTCGTTTAGTCTGTTTATTTAATATTTGCCCGCTGCAGGGTCGTCATCATTAAGGAAATAATATTATTATAATTTTAAACAAACCGAAGTAAATATAATAATATTGTAGTAATTCTTCTAATAAGTTCTAATAAAAACTCGTCGCTTTACCGTTGGTTCAAAAAATTAAAAAATTCCCCTATTAAAATGTATTCAAGGTTTTGTCGTCGTAATAGTTTTATGAAATCAGCGTTTTTACAAATCGATTAGAAGTCCGAAACGACAAAAATGAACGTGTGCCATCAATTAAAAATTAAAATTGTGGTTTTAGAAAAAAAAAAGACGGACACATACTTCGCACGATAAATGGGTCGCTTTGGTAGGCGAGAAGTTGGGAAAGTAGGATATAGAGAGGAATTTCATATATTATATTAACTGTTAATCATTGCTAACGAAAAAGGGCATTAATATGTAAATTTTTCTTGTTGATTACTAAGTACAACTTATAATAAACCTCCTGTCAAATTGTCAAGCATTTCTGTTTGATCTAACAATCCACAGAGTATCTATACTGAATAAATATGACGTAAAAGACTCTCAAAATCCTCCGAAAATCGGATGAACCATAAAATGATTATGGTCGAATTTTTGTAAAAAATAAACATCTTAGTAAAACCACTACATTCTTCGCTCATAATCTAAAATACACAAATGCCATTACAAAACCAATACTTTTTTACTCAGAATCTAAATAAGGAGATCCGATAATGCTGATTGATGTGCCATTTTCGTGGTCATAATTCGGTTAGGTGTTCGGATACATAGGGTTCTTCAATTTATATCTGTACGTGAACATAATTCAATGTTTACAAAATACGATTCTGAGCAATGTTCGGTTAGGGTTAAAGCCGCCTATGTAAAAAAAAAACCTGTCTCACAGGAATATCTGTCACGTATTGTAGGATAATTAGAGTGTGTTGTTCTTTTTTTATTTTTTAAAAAAGAAAAACTTCCTATAGGTCGAATTGAATTTCAATTTCAAAAAAAAAATTTCTAGAAACTGTGTTTATCGTCTGAAAGATTCCATTTTGTTTGTTTTCTAATATTGGGTTTAGATTAATCATAAATCACAGTTTAACGAGACATTATAAAAGTTTTTCTCTTTCAATTAAAGAAAAAAAATAGCTGATTCTGCCAATCTAATTTCGCAGGCGGAAAGTTAATGTTAAGAAATTACTTATTCGTAAGTAACGATTAATCGTTGCTAATGAAATGCGATTCTGAGCTAAGTCTAATAAAAAATTTGAAACCGAAAGATATGGTTAACAAATCAGAAATTTCTCAAATAAAACAAAATTAAATCGTATACCATAATAATTTTATAATATTGCACAATATACATTTTAGACTTATTTCCACGCAGTACGCAGTTTGATAATTGCGCGATTCTCTGTAAAATAAATAAATCCAGAAATGCAAACATACTCTGAATATTTAGTGAAATCGTAGGAAATGTTCCAAGTAAATACATTTTACGTCGTGTTTAAATTATTACAATAATATATTTCGGCGAAATTCGGGTTTACGTAAAAAAAAATGTCGTCAATTTAAGAGAATTCTGGAAAATTTTCTAGGATTTTGCGTTTTGTATTATTTATAAAATTACCGCTGTTAGTTGTTTTTTTTTTTACTAGCTTTTTATAGTGGCGAATCGGCGCTGACTTATTCACGAATATATACGGGTAAAACATTCTGAACTCGTAGAATTCGGGTGTAATGAAAACACTTAAGTATGCATTAAATTTATAGTTTGTATACCAGGTCGGTATTTAACGTTATTGTTTCCACTAAGCCGTAATTACTATCGGGAAATGCGCGATAAATGCGTTTCGAAACAGCCACTCGATCTTGGTTTCAAAAATCGACACTTAGATTGTGATCTATGGATCTAATCAATGCGTCTGGGAAGATGTTTTTTTTAAATTTCTTGGATTTTCCTTCGTAACGATTTTTTTTGAGGAGAGGAGGAGTGGTTATTGGTTTTCTAAAGCGGAAAATTGTGGAGAAACCTATGCAGAAATATGGTAAAAAAATAAATTTCGGCAGGTTTCTGAACACTACTCCTCCCCTAATTTCTGTGTACACCACTGTAAAGTACATTAAGTTTTCCTTTATCTAGTGGGAGTCCCTGAAAAAACACTGATATCCCTCCATCCGTGAATGTCGACACACGCCTAAATATATAATAACGATTGGTTTTGTTAATCGTATTTTGAAAAAAATGTGTACAATATACATATTGAAACGTGTAATGTTACGTAGGTATCGATGTTATTGTACTCCTATTCATCCATCACTAAATGAACTCGTTCCAATTCTTTCTGTCCGATCAAGATCAGATACGTATTGAGTTTTTGAGACCTGGGCGGTACTATGAATTGTTAGCGCTTTTCCTACTATAAATATGAAACAAAATACAAATTTTTGTTAAAATTTCATACACGAAACACATGTTTAACTGACCGTAGGGTAAATAAATAGTTTTTGTTTTTGTTTTTTTTTAGTAATTTTTTGAAGTATATTATAATAATATAACTGTGTTATTAATATAACGTGTGTTTAAATACGTCTTATGGTACGCACTCGTGTATTTTGTACTACACTGTTTAATAATATACATTCGTACTATGTATCTTAGATAGTTATATAATTTTACAATTTAATTCTATTCAGTTTTCACGGGTCAGTTCTATAGTAAAGATTTTAGATGATGCACCGAAATCTTAAATGTATTGTGTAGTATATATTATAATACGTCACCGTTTGAATATGATACCGAGATAACAAAAAATTAAAGTTATAATAATAACATTTTCGACCAGAGCTATTGAAAAAGTATGTTTAAAAATGCCACCCGATTCGATCATCCTTCCTAGTAACCCTGTCCCAAATACTTCTCTGGTTGACACGTCCCAGTTATACTACATTTTAGACGGACCGTGGTGGATATCGGGGGAGAGGGCGATTGGTGGATTATTTTCACCACTAAATATTATTATATCTACAATTTAATACTTAAGAATTTATATAGATATATAGAAAATTTCGGAAATTTACGGCACTCCCCCACTCCCGAACAACCCTATTTGGAAGATGGAATTAAGAAGTAGAAAAACTACGTTCGGACCAATTTTTCTGTAACAGTCCGCTTGGATCAATTTTAAAGACCCGTTAGGGCTAAAAAATACATATATTTTAACTTATATTAGTTTAACTGATCATTTTTTTATCGAGCATTTACATAATAGTATTTTATCTGTGTTGTATTATCGTCTATAATACTTTGATACATAGACATCTGTTATATAAAGATAATAAATATAGGTATATATCGAATATAACTGGATTTTTGGTATGTTTTAAAACTAAATTCATACACAGAAATTGTATGTAAACCTAAATAATTTACTTATTACTTAATTTAAAAATTAGTTTTCGTAGTTTAACTGAACGTTTATTTATCGAGCCTTTATAGAAATTCAAAAGTATTGGTCCAAACGGGTTCACTAAATCCTGGTTCAAACGGGTTGCAGTTTTATTAGTGGTCCAAACGTGCTTCGCCCGTCCGGGACTGCATGTACCGGTTTTTCGTGCTTCCTGTAAAATTTGATTTCGCGTCCCGTTTCTGCGATAATTAACGATTCGTTTATACACTCGTGTAGGATACGTGTCGGATACACGTGTATACTGGCACGCGTGTCGTTTTTACGCCTATTCGATGACGTTATACTCGCATATTGGTTTACCATTTTATGCAAATCGGAGCCGTGTACGGACTTACCTGCCGTCTTGTCCCTCGGAAACGCCCGCGTACTCCGCGTAGCCATCACCGTCGAACGCTAAATTTTCGGATCGCAAGAGAAGACGAACGCTCACACATGCCGATCCGGGTAAACACATAACCACTCTGGACGGTCGTTCTAGCCGATAAGTACGATTTTACGAGCCCGTGGCGCCCGACGGCCGTAATAATAATAATAATATTATATATACCTGAGCCGTCGTCGTCAAAATTACCCCGTTGTCGCCGTATTTCTCGACGCCGACGCGCCGCCGAACAGCTTCCTTTATTCACCCAATTTTCGTACAACATTAGAGACGACGTTGATTTTACCTATTCAATTTTACCCGACCTCCGGTATTCCTCTGCAACTATTTTCACATCCGTCCCACCATAATACACAAGACGAACCCCAGAGTTTCTCCTAACGTCAAGATTCATATTTTTCGCTTTACAGAGATTTTTTTCTTTTTCGATTAAACGTCACCTTGGCCTGAAATAATAGCTTTATTTTCGCATCTACCGTCAAAAATTATAGTACAAATATTTACTATAGGTACCTACATACATAAATTATATGTGTTGTCATTGAAACTATTTTTACGACACCAACCTTCCACCTGCCCATAATCGTCCGATACCTTTTGATTTTATGTTTATAATATCGGGTCATCGTATCGATAAAATAATATCTGAGGTTTTTTTTAAATTTCGGCGGGCGCCGTCGTTTTGTTTTTACTGAATAATGCTCTCTGTTTCATATGCGCCGTGTGTGTACGTTTTCGAGTATTTTAATGTAAAAATGACTAGGACTCCGGATTCTGAGCAGAGTTTGATTTAGTTTTTTTAAAGCCTAGCACAAAAGACAAAAAAATCAGCCCATTGTTATGAATTTTAAATTAAATTACAATCAGTATGTATAACCCAGTCAACACTTAACACACATAAATTAAAAGTGCTGCAGCGTACTAAAAATAATAAAATTAATTTCAAAAATTTGGAATCGGTTTATTCGTAACCATACAATGTTCACCGGTTTACGTATAACGTACGACTATAACGACAATACGAGAAATATCTATAGACTCCTAAAATAGCAATGTACACGACTGTTGTAATTACGGCACTGTACAATAAATATTCCAAAAGAAAGTAATTTTTATCATTTAGTCAAATACGCCGTATTTCTATATCTTATACTTATATTTTGTAAAACAGTAATAAATATAATTTATATTATAACAATATTAGTTACGACTGTGTATTCTTTTTTTGGTGATCTTAAAAATGTAAGGATTAAAAGAATTAAAAAAAAAAATTAAATCCAGTAGGTGGTCTTCTGATCCACATGGGCCCCGGACCCATAGTACCCATAGTAAATACAGCACTGATTCTGAGAGTGCGTTTCGAACCCCTTGAACGCTCCCTTGGATATACCACCGTCTTATTGCTCACAGTATCGTTTCAAAATATTCCCAATATTACTCGAAAAACTTGAGCACATTTTTAACATTAAATTCTCGGATGAAATTAAAATATCGAAATGTTTTAATTTCCACTGTTTTTATATCACGATCTTCGTTCTTGTTATTTTTTTTTTCTTTTTGTTAATATTAAGAGAGATAAAATAAAAATGAACAGATAAGAGTGTACCAGCTGAGCGTATACCGCAGTATTTACTTTCCGGTGTATGTTCAATTACTATGTATTATAATACTTCGGTCGCGAGTCGGTATACTGTGCACGCAGTCGGTGGAAATGTTTTCAAAGATTAGCTTATCGTTACTTTTTCTTTTTATGTTGTTTGTTTTATTAGTTTTCAAACTATAATAATTGTTTTTTCGTCTGGACTGCGCTCAAACGGTATACCCTCTGTATATAATTTAAGTATATAGTATATTACAGTGCAACTGCAATAAACCTCTCCGACGTATATATTATGCATATTACAGTCCTTATCGTAAAAATTATAGAACCGCGGTCATATTAATACTCGCGCCATAGGCGAAGAGAAATTGAGAAACAAGAAAACGATAATTATTATGTCTCGGGGGGGAACCATACAGTGAAACGGCAAGTCATCGCGAACATGCAGTTCCACTAAAGTATACGTGAAGTTCATAAATATTCACTACACTTGCCGAAAATATCATATAACTGAACGTAACCAACAAGCTATTATGGATTTTCCCGGGCGAATTTTTTTTTCTCGTGAAACACCCTTATGGTTAGTGAAAATGTTCCGAATTGTTCACACTGTACTTTAAAATGTGAATTGTCGGCTTGGTGTGTCATAACATCTAACAAATTGAAACAAATAATGAAAAATCAATTTTATTTTCGTTGATTTCTAGGTTACCTCTAAAATTCCATAGCGGCCAAGAAAATGTGTTAATAATATTTTTTTAAAATACTTTAACAATATATATTTGAATATTGTGACAATATTAAAACCATGTAATGAAAACGTACTTTCAATATTATTATTATATTATATTGTTATTATTATAATAAAAAAATAATAGGTATAATCGAAAAAAAAAAACCGCGAAAAAAATCAAGCGGCCAGGTGGTCGGGTTATTGAGCCGTATGTAAAACGCCGCATGCATTTTTGGACGGCGACGCCATTCGAACCGGTGACCCTACCTATCCCAACCAAACGCCCAACCGACTGAGTCATTATGAATGTTGAGCAAAACCTCTGTTTCACGGTTATGTGAATTTTATTATTACACGATAACGTCTATAACACGAGTTATTTTATGTTACTTTTTTTTCTTTAATATTCCTACATAAATATAATTTTTTATTAAAACAACGTTTATATGATGGCCATTTTAACATGATAATCAATTTTTATTATTATTTTTAGCACTTCTAAAATAACGTATTATACAAATATTAAAAATACATTTTTACAATAATAAGTCGTCAATAAATATACAAATTGTTTTCAAATAAATATTAATATTCAAGAATTCACATTTTTTTAAAAAGTAGTTTTGAAAACATTATTATAAATACAAACTACTAATACTAACCTAATACTAACTAACCTAACCTAACCTAACATAACCTAATCTTTATTGTAATAAAATGCCAATATGTTTATACATTCATACCGTGTTAATTTTTTTTTGTATAGTTTTCAATTGCTTTTAAACTTTTGTTTAGTCGGATTTCCACTGATTAACCATTGTTACCAAAAAAACGATTCTGAACGGAATTCAGTTAATATTGCTGCTTTGAAATAAACATCATAGTAAAACCATAAGCTTTTTCGTTCCACTCAGAATAACTTTCGTGTAATATACATAATCTTGTAATCGTGTAATACACGTAGGTAAATTTTGGCGCAAATGAGCAGTACCCAAAATAATTATTTTTTTTGTACCACAAATGCGCGATGCCCTTGTTATGACCAGTGTTGAATCCAGGTATATGACAGGGGGAAAATAGCCCCTCTAGAATTTTGTTTGTCCCCTGTTAAATGTGGGTAAATTAATAACTAATTAAACAATAAATCAAATTTAACTGGTAAGGGGGTAGATAAGCAAAAAAAAAAAAATTTTAGCACTGCCCCCCCACCCAAAAAAATAATCTGGATTCAACACTGCTTATATAATTATAATAATAATATGTAAGCCGTCATAATATTATGACGAGAAATATGTTTAGAAAATGTTTTTACAATATGTTTGAATTTTATTATTTTAAATATCATTTAGAACGTGAACAAAACATATGTCTATAATATTTAATTTACAGTATTTTAAAATTAATACTTATTGCATATTTTCAATATGTTTTCGCAGTATATTTTAACTGATATTGTTGGAAACATGTAAAAACATATTGTGACAGTATCAACATGTTCTTGTTATCTGGGCGCAATAAAGAGCCGGACATACTCACTTCGTACAATAAGTGTGCTACTGTTGGCCATCGTATATAGGCTGATGGCGTAGGAGAGAAATTTGCAAGGTACCGGATATAGGATAATGTAGTTACATACTGAAAGCACCAATAAATCTTTGTTACCAATAAATGACTCTGAGGGGAACTCGGTTAATTGTTAAGGATATATAGTGTAAGTAGTTTTTTTCTTTTCATTGATGCCAAGGTGTAACCCAGAAATTCACTAAAGTCAAATCGATTTTGGTATATTTATTTGTTATTGGTTCTTTTTAATGTTGTAGAAACTCGTTTGGAATTTAGAAGAGTTGTTGAAAAGTATCACGGGATGAAATCCCGGATATTTTCAGATACGGTGTGACAAAATGTTTACTTAAGTAATCGATAAAGAATTTTCCAAGGGAAAAAACACACCTTAGATAAACGAATAGCGTCTTCACCGCACTCAAATTAAACAATTGTACAGGTTAATGAATATTTTGTTGAAAAACAAAAAAAAAAAAAAACAATGCTGTAAAAACTCGTCAAAACCGGTAATACTCTAAAATTATAAATATATATTGTAACCTATACTTATAATTATTACCATTTAAGTAAATCCATAACATTATAAGTACTTATCCATACAAAATTAATATAAATATTGCCACGTTTTCATTGCAACGGAAGTATTTTCCTAAACGCATGATAAAAATTACAATATTTCCGGGAATCGTCATCCGTCGGAATCGTTTTCTAAAAAGTGCGGATAGATAATGCTCGTTTTCGATCTTAATTAACGGAATATTAATAATCAGATAATAAAGTGAAAACAAAATTATTAAAATCGTTAATAATCGTAAATGAATATGTAAATAAAACATTTGTATATAGAAAAAAAATTAATTAATTAATGAATGCGTCGCCTGGAATATTACGATAAGTGTATTATACTCCAGGCGACGCATTCATTCATTTATTTATTTTTTAATTCTGTACACACGTTTTTGATTTATGTATTCATTTACTATATGCGATAATAATAATAAACTGTTGACCTATTTTTCCAGTCTTAATTTAAAAATAAAAGAGACTGAACTCACGAAATGTTAAAACATTTTCTCGTGAACAACTCAACATTTTTAAAACTAGAGTCGCCCGTTAAAAACTATATAATTGCGATGTGACATACTTGAACGATTTTATGGTTTTAAATCGGTAACACAAAAAAAAAAAAAAATCTTTATAAATATACACATTTATGCATATATCAATTGTGTAAATAAATAATCAAGCGATTCGGTGGGTTGGCGGTGGACTGACCATCGACTTGCCGAAGTTGCTACGCGAAGTAAATTTCGGGTGTGCAGGCACTGTGTTCGGTTATGTACATCGTACATCTTCGGTATAGAGCACA